CAAACAGTGAGACTAATCTTTTTATGTAAATTCTACATGGGGGCTTTAAAGCTGGTATCCTCTCAGTTCGTACTCAATAGTAGTTTATAAATAAATAAACGCTGCTCAGACTGATAAATATTATCTTCTATATATCATATTTATCAGTCTGAGCAGCGTTTATTTATTTATAAACTACTATTGAGTACGAACTGAGAGGATACCAGCTTTAAAGCCCCATGTAGAATTTACATAAAAAGATTAGTCTCACTGTTTGTAAACAGCTACTACCAAGTTCTGGTCAAGTCATTTTTCATTGACTATCAATATTATGATAATAGTGATTTTATGCTACAATTGCAAATATAAATTGTGTGTGTATGGGGATTTTGCCCACAGTACATGATACAGACAAAAAGGAAATACCTGACTAAGCACAATAAATCTGTACGGTAAAGTATGAATAGCCAATCAGAGACAGTCTGTACTGTGAGTAGCCAATCAGAGACAGTCTGTACTGTGAGTAGCCAATCAGAGACAGTCTGTACTGTGAATAGCCAATCAGAGACAGTCTGTACTGTGAATGCATTATATATTTGCTGAGTTATAATTTTGTAAAACCTACTAAATATATGTGAAAATGTAAAATAACCATAAAATTCAATATTTTACTGGCAAATTCATGAACTTAAAATCTAAAAAATTACAGTACCTGTATGTCATTTCAAACTAAGACATAAAAACAAAAAGGTCTTTGATTTGCTGATTTCTAGTTTTTGAAACCAAAGTTGACACCATAAAGGATTACACTATCAAACTTCTGCTTCATACTCTCACACCCAATCTTTTTATTTTATTGACTTCATCAAGTAAATAAAGTAGTACCACTCAAGTATTAACCAACAGATCAATTTATTGATTCAGTGTTGATAGATACAGCCTCGAATATAAATTGCTTCAAAGCTTCAAGATACTGTAAAATACTTTATTTTAGCTGGGACTAATTTTCACTGAAAAGATTTTTTGGGTGTTTTGTATGGAATTTATTTTCACTGATTTCTGACGAGTTTACTGTAAAATTTAGGAATATTCAATGGATTTTATTTTCATTGAATCCTTCCTTCAGCGAAAATAGCGAAAATTAATACCAAGCGAAACCAAAGTATTTTACAGTAGTTAATAAGCCATTTTTCGCAAGCTGCGAGATCACGCGTGACCACGGTTTACGCACCTTAGCAACCAATTTAGTCACGTGATACAGGTCAAGCTTTCAGTTCAATACGATAGCAACCACATTGTCCTACGTGTTGTAAACTTCAACTCGAAATAATATCTGTCGCAATGGGAGTCAAACGGTGCAAACGGCACGCTTACGACGAATGTAAGAGTGATTCTCGTATCAGTACAAAAATTATATGAATACTGTCTTTTTGCGATTCCTAAAACCAAAAACGCAGTCTGAAAAGTATGTGCGATCGATGGATCAGTGCCTGTTCTTGGGCAGACAATTTTGGTCGACACAGAATCATCCAGGACATGTACATGTACGCTTGTTTCCTGCACTTTGTGGGGGAAAGGGTCCTTCTGAGTCTTATTCAAACCCAAAACAGCGATTGCGAGAGGTGTCGAACGTTGTATATTCGAGTCGATGACGTACATCGTCGAACGACAATCAAAAGAAGCACTGGTAAACATTGAAACCTGTTGATACTTTGTTTTGCAAGTTGTACTGGTCATCGTGCTTGTTTTCATGCCATCAATATTTGTTTTTTTACTTTTATGATCGCGTATTTTATAGCGATGCCGAATAAAACGTGGTTTAGCATGGGATTGACTATTTTTTTTATTTACAACTCACAAGTGTACATCTTAAATTGTCTTATCATTAGTATCCCGATTAAAACAAGAGTTCTGACATTGCTGTTACCTCAGAATTTGAAAAGGATTTAAATGCGAAAAGCTATGCATTTAATGATAACAATATTGCCACAAAGTTACGGAATACGCCTCCTGACAAAGAGCTAAGCCTGAATGTTGGCAAGTGAACTAATTCTATTACAAAGCACCAAATTAAATTGTAATATTTAATACTTGTACAATTTAATACTCATACTGCCAGGTTTTTTTGTAGTTTTATTCAACTTCCCTTCTATGTCGAAAAGTTAAGAATTTTCAAGCTATGTATTTTTAAAGCATGCTTGTTGTTTACAATATTGACAGTTTCCTGTTATTTGTATGGATGCTTGTGCCTATCATGTAGTGTCGACAGATTGTTGTTATCCATATGAACTAATGTGTGAATCATGCAATATTGGCCGTTTTCCGATATTCAAAGCTGTTCACGCTCGTAATGGTGAAAGTAGCAGTAATGTGAAGTATGTGCCTTTGACATGTGATGCCATTACACAGACAGGTGTTACATTCGAACATGCCCGTCGCACAGTAT